ATTGGATCAGGCCTCAGACCCCACCCCTTAGTGCCCTGAGTGACAGAAGATGAGTCCACACGGATTGCTGGCTGCGTCCTGCGTTTCCTCTGTGTGCTGGAACGGGGCAGCTGCTTGGGGTCATCTGCATTTTACCTAGTACATGGGGTTATGTCCACTTGTGGATAATATATAGGATATTCAAAACTGGGAAGATACGGTGACTATTATGTTTAAACTTCACATTTCGTAACCTTCATGGGTTTTTTTTGTTTTTTTTTTGAGACCGAGTCTCACTCTTTTGTCCAGGTTATTCTACTGTGACGTCATCCTAGCTCGCAGCAACCTCACACTCCAGGGCTGAAGCGATCCTCTGGCCTCAACCTCTCGAGTACCGGAGACTAGAGGCATGCGCCACCAAACTGGCTATTTTTTGTGGAATGGGGTCTCTCCCTGTAGCCCCGGCTGGTCTCTATTCCGTACCTCAAGTGATGCTCTTTCCTTGGCCTCAGAAATTGCTAGCCTTACATGCCTTGCTGAAAATCTGAAATTTTAAAATGTTTTCCCTTTATACTTTCTAATTTTGAATATAAAATATATTATTCATAAGTATATAACATTATATATACAAGGCTAACTCTCAATATACTCCTGGCACTGCCAGGTTCTGTGCGGAGACAAAAATCTTGGAATATATTTGAATACGTGGGATCCAATGAGCTGTCACTCTGGGAATTAAGGGTCGGGACCGACCTCTTGTTCTGTCCAATCAGGGGCGCATATGTAGGAACTGTCCAATCAGGCTCGCAGCGGAAGCGGAAGGGGCGGCTCCTACAAATCTACCCGGGAGTTTGCTTCTAGCGGCGGCCTCCCAGGCTGGTTTGCCGCTGTTTGTGCCTCAGGTTGAGAGTTCCAGGTAGGTGTGTCTGGTGCGGCAGGTGTCACGGGGCGACCTGCGGGTTCCGCAAGATCTGAAGGAGGATGCCAGGACAGCTCGAACGCCAGGAAACGGTGAGTGTAGCGGGGTTTGCAAAGGCTGGAAGTGCCTGTGGCGGTTCCCGGGCCTCCCCGCGTTGGCTCCGGAGTCCCCGCCGGTTCAGCTCGTCCCTGGTTCCCCTGCGGCCACAGGGCGGGGGAAGGACGGCCGCCGGGACCGCGGGGGTCCGGTCCCGTCCTCACAGGACTCCGCACTGCCCGAAGCCGTCTCTGGGCAGGTCCGTCTGTGCCTGCAGCCCCGCGTCTCGCCCGGTTTGTGCGGTAGCCACGGGGGGATCATCGGGGAGAATCCTGACCCAGTGGCGGGTCCGTGGGGTCCTCAGTCTGTGCTTTCTCCTGCTAAAAATTAAAGTAAGGCACTGTTAAAGTACATCCCACCCCTTTCTGTATGCCTCTTGTCTGTCTGTACATAGTTTTCATTTTATATAGTTTCCTCTTTAAGTCAGTGATTGAGAAACTGAAAGGAAGTACAAAGACTGGGTCTTTCATCTGAATGCTGCCTGGAATTTGGGGACATTTAGCATTTGTCTCCCAGGGTATTATTATGAAGATTAACTCACCCGCTGTGATGTTCCCAGCACAGAGCTCTGTAACATACTTGAGAGCACCTGGCACCTGCTCAGAATACACCACATTAACACATGTGAACATGTCATTTTCTGAATGTAGACTCACTCAGACATTGCTGCTTTCTCCAGCCTTCTGTAAACTTTGAATAGCCATCAAAGAGTGTGATCTTTCATCACAGCATTTGTGTCGTGATAAGGGTGTTGGGTGAGAGGGACTGTGTGCTGTGCCTGCTGTCTCTAACTGAGTGCTGCTGATAATGGGCTAGGGAGAGCATCGCCTGCATTAACAGGAACTTCTTATAAAATCCAATTCATAAACTCCTTCCAAACCTGCAGAACCGCATTGCATAGACTGGGGCCTGGAATCCCAAAGGATTTATATGCTTGAGAGACAAGAGTTAGCTAAGAGTTTCTCAGCCCAGGCTTCCAGTTAGGGTCGCATGGCCAATTTGAAGACATCCCATCACCTCTCTCCTCTCCACAGATTCTGATTTCTATGATTAGATTCAGATTATGGTTTAATTTTTCCCACTCATATCACAGTTCTGATTATGGTTCAATCTGTGTTCATCGACACCTGGTACCAATTTTTCCCATTACAGATGATGGTAACTTTATTAGCTATGTTAAGATGCTGCCGGTAAGATTCCTTCACTATACAGTTTTGTATTTTTCTCTTTGTCATTAATGTCATCTTAGAGTTTACTTGGTGATATGTATAAACCATCGCATTTAATGCAAAAACTCCAATTTGTTTTCAGTTTCCATTTCCTTGTGGCTTGCTTTGGAGAATAAAGGCTTTCATACTTGATGAGTGGAGATAATGCTTTTGAAATTCGGAGATTTAAAACAGGCCTGAGTCTTATAGGTTTCCTTTTTTTTCTCCCCTCATATCACAAACATAAGTTTCTTTATTACTTCTCTATATTTTCAGAGGAAAGGAACAAAAATTAACATATAAGTCATATATTTAAGCTTCTTAATGCTTTACAATATAACAAATGTGGCACATATAATAAATAAAACAAAAATTGGAAAAAAAAGGATCAGGAAAAATAGCTCTTATTTCTGTTTATATCTTTGTGTGTGCTGGTCTCCATAGTATGCCTAAAAATCATCAACATAGCTTTATAAATGTTTTACAATTAAATATATTTCCTTAAAGGAAAAGGTTCTACTTTATCACTTTTAATATGTATATAGTTACCATATCTATCTGTGTGTATGAAATGTAAGTATTTGATCAGTGTTCTGTTGCTGCCTTCTTAACTTGTCTTCATTACTCTTCTTAGTTATGAAATCTGCTGTGAACATTCAGTTGGGGTTGTCTGTGTAGAGTGGCCTGTATGTCCCTTTGAGATAAATTCTAAGTCGGATAAACTGGGGTAAAAAATGAGCTCTGCTGTTTATTGGATAATTGGCAAAATACTCTCATAAAATAATAGTATTATTTTTTCCCATAGATTCTTTATGTGGTTTTAAGCATTATTATATGAAAAACTGCTGGAATGACATCTGGTATACAGTAAATGTTCAAAAAGGTTTGCTGCTTTCCTTGCTGTTATGTTAGTTCATATATTTCATAATACTCTCAATTCCACATCATTCATGATTTCTTCCCTCAGAGTTCTAAATCTGTCCTTTCCAAAGGTATGGCTTTTACACTTTAGGCATTGGCGTCACTGGTGAGCTTGTTAGAAATGCAGAATCCGGTGAGCTTGTTAGAAATGCCTCACCCAGATCTCCTGAACCAGAATCTGCCTTACAACAAGATTTCCAGTTCATTGTAGTACCCAATAAAATTTTAGAAATATGCTTCTATCGCACCATGGCTTTTTCCTCTGAGGAATTGATACAACTGATTTTGTAGGATGTAAATATATCACTCAAAACTGCATATTCCTGTGTTTATGTTTTAGTTTTATATTTTATATTCTATACAAACATAGTATCTCCATTAATTTTGTAGCTCTTATGTCATTCTCTTTCCACATAAGCGGAGAATGCCTTAAGAAATATTAGAGTGTTAAAATGTGTGTTCTTGTGTAAATAAGGTCCCTCATATATGTCAGGGCCAGAAGTCTAAATGTCCACATTTTGTCTTGGGTCAAATTAAAAACTGCTCATGGTCACATGATCATTTATCTATTTCTGATTTTTATTCATGGACTGTTAAAAGTTATGTGGACATAGAATTCTCCTTGGAGGAGAGGGAATACCTGAACCCTAAGAATTCTTCCCACATTTTATTTTATTTTATTTATTTTATTTTTTCAGGAACTGTTGACATTCAGTGATGTTGCCATAGACTTCTCTCCAGAGGAGTGGGAATACCTGGACACTGCTCAGCAGAATTTGTACAGGGATGTGATGTTGGAGACCTACAGAAACCTGGTGTCTCTCGGTGAGAATTATTTACCTCCAGAATATCTAATATACCTCAAGGGTTTCATTTCTTTTCTTTACAGATTGTATTTTGGGAGCTTGTGCCTTGATTGTATGAATGAGTATAAGTTTCCTAATTTTAGGGAAAAAAATTGGGGGCTTTCTAATGTAAAAAAACATTTTCTTTCTTCAGGCGATTTGATAGTTTCACTCTACCATACTGGTGACTCTGCAAATTCAGTGATATAAAATATTGTTGTCCACACCTTAAAATCATATTTCTCCTTTTTATTGTTGATTCAGTCATACTTGAAAGTAAAGCACTGGATCAACAAGTTTAAAATGCATCCCAAATATTCTACAGGAGTCATCAGGAGATAGTATTTAGAAAAATAATTTTCTAGAGTTTTTTATAAGATTGTCTCTTCTCTACTGACTACAATAGTAAGTTCAAGATTGAGGAACCCCATACAAAATACATGTGCCTTTTTCTATTAAAACAGAACTTCCTGGGCCGGGCGCTATGGCTCACGCCTGTAATCCTAGCTCTCTGGGAGGCCGAGGCGGGTGCATTGCTCGAGGTCAGGAGTTCAAAACCAGCCTGAGCAAGAGCGAGACCCCATCTCTACTAAAAATAGAAAGAAATTAATTGGCCAACTAATATATAGAGAAAAAATTAGCCGGGCGTGGTGGTGCATGCCTGTAGTCCCAGCTACTCGGGAGGCTGAGGCAGCAGGATCGCTTGAGCCCAGGAGTTTGAGGTTGCTGTGAGCTAGGCTGATGCCATGGCACTCACTCTAGCCTGGGCAACAAAGTGAGACTCTGTCTTAAAAAAAAAAAAAAAAAAAAACAGAACTTCCTGTCTCTAAGCTCGACCTGGTCACCTTTTTGAAACAAATGAAAGAGTCCTGGAATGTGAAGAGAAAGGACACAGTAGCCCAACACCCAGGTAGGTGGGAGTGCATGAAGCAGATGATATAGGTAAGAAGTTCAAAGGTCATGGAAGAAGCCAGAGCTTAACATGTGGTCTCAGAGGCTCTGCCACAAGGAAACTAATTTTCGAGAAGTCTGGGTTTATTTCTCTTGCTCTCATAGAAGGACATGTTCTTTCTCATGTTATTACATTATCTGAGGATTGATTCTCCCTAAGACTGTGAAAAATTTCATCTGAGGATTCCCTTTGCTCTTCACTGATCCTCCATCAAATTCACAGGAGAGCCAAAGTCCTCCCCTTGGAATGTGAGGGCCTATGCTATCTTGTCATCCATTCCCTTGGGGGCGGGGAAAAATCTGCATATAGCTCACTACCTGTATGTTAAACCATTTTATAAGTTCTGTCTTTGGGTGCTGTCAGAATTGTTTGAACATAGTGGTGGACATAGTGATATTTGGTTTAGAAATCTAAGGAATACTGTAAATGGATGTCAGATATTAATATTTTCTGTTTTATTAATTTCTAATTCTATAGAGGTTTCAAAGGTGATATTACAGATATTGAGATTCTAATTTTATCAGAGTACAAAGGATGTCCCTTTAAATTTTAAAATACATATTGAACATTAAATATTTAATTAGATTTTTAATTTTTAAATGTTTCTAAAAGTCTAATCATATACTTTTATTTAATAGTTTCTTTTAAGAATGAAGATTAGAATTTAAAGGGTATATTCACAATTTCCACATTTATACTAGTTTCATGTGCTGTTTTCCATATAGAGTTCTTTGTTTGCTTGTTTATTTTGTTTTGTTTTGTTTCTGAGACAGAGTCTTGTTCTGTTGCCTGGGCTAGCATGCCCCGGCATCAGCCTAGCTCACAGCAACCTTAACTTCTGGGCTCAAGAAATCCTCCTGCCTCAACCTCCCTAGTACCTGGGACTGGAAGCATGCACCACCATGTCCACCTAATTTTCTCTTTATATTTTTAGTTGTCTGGCTAGTTTCTTTCTATTTTTAATAGAGACGGGGTCTTACTCTTGCTCTGGCTGGTCTTGCCTTCCTGACCTGGCACAATCCTCCTGCCTCGGCATCCTATAGTGCTGGGGTTACAGGAGTGAGCCACCATGCCCAACCTAGAGTTTTAAACTAAAAATGATCTATAGAGACCTTATAACATTATCTGGCATATAGTAACATTTTTGTCTTTTTTCTTTTAATCTTTTTTAAAAAATTTATTTAGATTGCTAATCTTCTCTGTATCTTTCCAGTGGTAGTATATGTGTTGGTGAAGCGAACACTATAGTAACATTTTGACTATTACCTTATATCTTTTTTTTTTTCGGTTTTTCTTTTTTTTTGTTTTTTTTTCTTTGAAACAGAGTCTCACTTTGTTGCCCAGGCTAGAGTGAGTGCCATGACCTCAGCCTAGCTCACAGCAACCTCAAAATCCTAGGCTCAAGCAATCCTGCTGCCTCAGCCTCCCGAGTAGCTGGGACTACAGGCATGTGCCACCATGCCCAGTTAATTTTTTCTCTATATATTAGTTGGCCAATTAATTTCTTTCTATTTATAGTAGAGACGGGGTCTCGCTCTTGCTCAGGTTGGTCTTAAACTCCTGAGCTTAAATGATCCACCCGCCTTGGCCTCCCAAAGTGCTAGGATTATAGGCATCACCTCACCTGGCCCCTTATATCTTAGTAATTATCATTATATCATTCTCTTTGGTCAAGTAGTCAGCTTACTCAGAGTGGGTCTTCTGTGTTCTTTTCTTTATTGTTTCTTTCATCCTGGCATGGTTTTTTATTTTACCAATAAAAATGTATGTTTTTGAGGTTACATCTTAATGGTTTGATATATGTATGTATTTTGTCATGATTAATAGGATGAACTTAACACATCCATCATCTCAGATAGTTGCCAAATTTTGGGGGGTGAGAACACTTAATGTCAAGTGTCTTACAATGTGCTACTGTGAACTATATTGACAATGCTGTACATTATATCCCCAGAATTTATTAATCATGTGAGTGAACGTTTGTACTCTTTGACAAATCTCCCCATTTTTACCACCCTCCCCCACTTCTGGTGCCCACCATTCTACCCTTTACTTGTAGGGTCTCTACTTTTTGAAATTCTACAGATAGCTCATATCATACAATAATTGTATTTGTCTGTTTTATTTCAGTTATCATAATTTCCACCTGGTTCATCCATCTGTGTTTTTACAATGGCAGAATTACCTTTTTTTACGGCTAAACAATATTATATAGTGTGAATAATCTGCTAAAAACATAGGAGAGCAGATATCTCTTTGTATTTATATTTAGTTTAATTTAGTTTGGATATATACCCAGAAGTGAGATGGAAGGATTATGTGTTTCTTCTGGTTTCAATATTTCAGAAGCCTCCATTCTGCTTTCCATAATAGCTGGATCAATTTACATTCCCTGTGACACCGTAGTTTCCTTTTCTCACCTTTGCCAACTTAACTTTTTTATAATAGTCATTATGACAGGTGTGAGTGATTTCTCATTGTGCTTTGATTCGCATTTCCCTAATGAATAATGATGTTCAGCATCTTTTCATGAACCTATTTGCCACTTTTATTTCTTCTATGGAGAAATATCTACTCAGGTCCTTTGCACAATTTCAGTCAGTTTTACTTTTTTTTTTTTTTTTGCTTATTGAATTGTTTGAGATTCTTATATTTTAAATATTATATTCATCATGTACATATTCTCCCAATTCTTGGATTTCTTTCATGTTGTTGTTATTGTTTCCTTTGCTGTGCAGAAAGCTTTTAGTTTGATGTGGTCTTGTTTTGGGGTTTGCTTTTGTTGCTTATACTTTTTTGGCGTGATATGAAAAAAAACAGACGTTATCAAGGCTAATGTCAAAGAGATTGTTCCCTATGCTTTATTCTAGAAGTTATATAGTTTATAGTATTACATTTGATATTAATCTATTTTGAGTTAATATTTGCAGTATGGTATGAATGTCCGATTTCATTCTTGTGCATCGGGATGGCACTTTTTATCATTTATGGAAGAGACTATACCTTCTCCTTTATGTATCCTGGTGTCTTTGTCAAAAACTAGTTGTATACTCATGTCTTTATTTCTGCTTTCTCTGTTCTTTTCCTCAGTGTATTTCTCTGTTTTCTTATCAGTACCATACTCTTTGTTAGTATAGTTTTGTAATTGTTTTAAATCAAGAAGTGTGAAGACACCGTAAAACACTGAAGGATCCCACGTTGTAGTACATTATATGGCAGATTTAAAGTTGAGCTGCTATAGTAAATTACTGGGTCTTCTCAATACTTGAATATGTATGCAGGAAAAGGAAGTGACATTGCACTTTATAAGTATAAGCCTTGTATTGTAAGTGAAAAATGCAATGCCTTAAGTAAAACTATTTAAAATAAAAAAAAAAAAACAAGAGTCAAGACTTCAGCTTTGTTTTCTTTCAAGGTTTTGTTGGCTATTTGGGATAATTTGTGATTTCTTGGAAATTTTTTAATTCTTTACTGTTTCTGTGAAAAACACCATTCAGATTTTAATAGTAATTAAATAAAGATGGTAGATTGGGGCCGGGCGGGGTGGCTCACGCCTGTAATCCTAGCTCTCTGGGAGGCTGAGGTGGGCGGATCATTTGAGCTCAGGAGTTGGAAACCAACTTGAGCAAGAGGGAGACCCCGCCTCTACTATGAATAGAAAGAAATTAATTGGTCAACTAATATATATAGAAAAAAATCAGGCGGGCATGGTGGTGCATGCCTGTAGTCCCAGCTACTCGGGAGGCTGAGGCAACAGGATTTCTTGAGCCCAGGAGATTGAGGTTGCTGTGAGCTAGGCTGAGGCCATGGCACTCACTCTAGCCTGGGCAACAAAGTAGACTGTCTCCAAAAAAAAAAAAAAAAGATTGTAGATTGCTTTGTCTAATAGGGACATTTTATATTATTCCAATCCATAAATAAAGGATATCTTTTATTTGCATATTCTTCATTATATTCATTAATGGCAGATTTTGCTGAACAAATGTTTCACCTCCTTTGTCAAATTGAGTCTTAAAAGTTTATAGTAT